GTAAACCTCTTTCAGGACTGCGGAAATTGTTACCCACTGGAACGGTGTCTGGATTATTGTAGAGCCAGAAAGAGATCTGCTGGCGTAGGGAGCTGGTTAGTGAGAAGACTGGGGGGGGGGGGATCAGCCAGGGAAGCAGAGGAGCATGGGGGAAAACGAAACCCTAACCGGAGACTGCCCGAACTCCTGCTTAATAGCAACCTCCACGCTACTTGTGCCAGTTGCAGAGGAGATAGTGATTTTGTGATGATGCTGTTGGATTAAAAACTCACTAATGTATTTGAGGGCTAAAGGGGAAAGCCAGGAAGAATTCCACTTTTTTTTTTTTTTTTAAATTCAGGGAGCTTCCCAGCGCAAGGGACCTCGGATGAGATTGTGGTTGGAATTGTCTGGGTAACCGCAGCGCCTCCCAGGTGCTGGCAGGCTCCCCACGCTGGTGATGTTCCAGCGATGATCCAGGTTTGTGAGGGACCGATTGAGGCATTCAGCACTTTGCACTGGCCACGTTTACTTTTCTACTTGAAGGGTTATGAACATGTAAAGAGTGGAAAATAAACATTAAAATACCTTTTTGGGTACTTTACTCAGAAACAAGGATTCATAAAACCTATTGCTGTGGTGAGCCTCAACCACAGCAGAAAGCAAGAAAAATCCCACGAGGTAGTTAATGCTTAATGGGGAAAAACCAAAAGGAGGAAAATGTTTAAGTTTAGTAAAACTAAACTTAAGTTTAGTAAAATAAATTATAAAAACCCAAGTCACCAATTAGGAGACAGACAGAATCTTTAAAGATTTTTTTTTTGGTAGGGGGACTTGAACTCATGACCTTGGACTTGCCTAGCAGGTACTGTGCCACTGAGTTAAATCCTCAGCCCATAGCCAGCTTGTCCTGCAGAGCAATTTAATGGGACTCTGCATAGAAAAAACATAAAAACAGAAGGCAGGAAATGGGCTGGGGATTGTAGCTCAGTGTGAAGGCCTGGGGTCCAAAGCCCAGTACTGTGGCAAAAAATGTCAATAGAGTGTATGTTTCTAGGAGCAGGGGGAACAACAGAGAGGACTGCATGACGGGAGAAGGGAGTGACCATCGGCCAGCTGTGCTCTCCGTGCCTCAGGTAGCCTCTGTGAGCCTGTTTCCTCAGCTATCCAAAGGGGCCTTTAATCAATCAAATCAATCAATCAATCAATCCATTAATCATCAATCTGGTTCTCACATGGATTCTCCAAGCCTCTGGCTGCTTTTGAGGGAGCCCTCTAGGAGTACTGGATTCGGACAAAGCAGAATGCACAAGCAGGCCCCTTTCAGTAGGGTTCGGAGTCTCCCAGGCCAGCGCGGTGTGGGGTGGCCTGTCACAAACACGCTGTAGAGAGCAGGTGGAGGAAGGACTCTGCCAACGCCAGAGTGCTGCCCGGAGGTGGCTGTGGATAATCCCACTTTACATCCACTCAGGGCCTGCTGTGTGCCAGGCTTCAGCTCTGCCCCCTCTGGATTTCTGCTGTACATATGAGTGAAAATACTCACTTGGGACAGAGGCAAAATGACAAGAAATTTGCTTTAGTTTGTCTAAAATTGGTCTCTGTCTTTGTCTCATCTTCTCTTTCTCATCAGGGAATTAAACACTGAGCTGCATCCTCAGTCCTTTTTAAAGTTTTGAATTGGAGATAGGTTCTTGGTAACTCATAATGTAGTTCACGTTGGGCTCAAATTTATGACCCTCCTGCCTCAGCCTCCTAGGGTGCTGAGCTTACAGGCATGTACCACCACAGCTAGCCTGCCTGAGATTTTTGGCTCCACATGGCTGTGTTCTGCTTCTTCGTGTCCTCAAACAGTGTCTAAAACTGTCTTCTCCATGTTAGGATTGTTCTTTAATCACAGATCTCAAAGCAGCCTGGCTTCTTCAGTAAGTATTTCACTCCTTGGCTTTTCTCAAATTTCCCTCAGCCTCTCAGGCTTATCACCTTACCTCTCTCTCACTTGACAGGCCTCATCCCTCACCTTCCCACTGTTGAAACTACAAGCAAACTTCTTCCCTGTTACCCCGAACCCCTCTTCCTGTACTGGGCAGACAGGGCATCCCCCTCGCCTTCCCAACGATTTCCCCTTTTCATCACCCTCTTCCCTTGCTTCCCAGTCTCTCCCTCTTCCTGTCCCATTACTTCTCCCAAGATTATACCAATTATAATCTGGCTTCTCCTTCCTTGAAAAACAAAATGACAAAACAACCAAAAACCCACATACGAAGATGTGCTGTGTCTTCTAACCTCTTCAGGATTGCCGTCGTTTCCTGAATTCCCTTGCTTGGTTCTCATTCAGTCTTTAGAACACCTAGTCGGGCTTTGCCATCTTCTCCCCTCAGTGTCCAGCCTACCTGCACAAAGGTCACTGTAGCAGGAAGGTCACTGTAACTACATAAAAGCTGTACTTGGGTCCTGAGCTCAGAAGCTGTGAGTAGGCCTTTATTTAGAAAAGGGATTGGCAGATACCATGAAGTGAAACATCACCAGAGATGGCCAGGATTTAGGGTGGGCCTTAGGCCTCACATCCTTAGACGAGAAAGCAGTGGGGCATAAAGCAGTGGGGCATTTGAGACACAGGCGACCCGGGACACAGGAGAGAAGGCCACGTGACGATGGAGACAGAAAGGAATGACGTCGATAAGCCAAGCAATGGCAAAGAATGCAGCAGTCATCAGGAACTAGAGGAGACAAGGAGGGCATCTCCTCAAAGGCCTTTGGAAGTCAGAGATGCTTGGCCTTCAGAAGTGTGAGAGTTTTGTTCTTTCAAGCTGCTGTGGTTTTTGTCATTTGTATGGTCGCTCTAGAAAACCAGGAGCCCCCAGTGACCTCCACATTGCAAAGCCCCGGACACGCTGCCACCTCTTGTACTTTGTAACAGTGTTGGATTCAGTCAACTTTGTCTTTCTGGAAGCATCTTCTGGTCCTGGCTTCTGGGGAGCCATTCCTTTGGGTTTCACCTATAGGTTCCTTGCCAGCTCTGAGCTGCTACCTCACCCTTTTACAGTTTCTCCGGGGATCCTGTCCATACCTGGGGCTACACTGCTGGCCCCAGGGCCGTGCGTACCAGGCTTCTGGACGTGACGACTTAGACTTTTCGGTTGCCTATGGAGCATACATCTGTGTACAAAATCAAACTTTTTATGTTTTGCTTTTATTTTATGTTGCATTCATTATTCATTCCGAGGCTGCTTTTATTTCTCTGGTTTCTTCTGGGACATCCTTTTCTTAGATGCCACCTCCTTTTCCAGTTTAGGGACACTGTGCTGGTTCAGCAGAGGGCATCTCCGCATGGCGAGAGGCTCAGGCTTGGGTTAATCCACGCATGCGCTCTGTGAGCGCCGTGCACGCCTGGGTGCTTTGTTCTTCTGCAAGTTCAATGACTCCAGAATCCTCCTCAGCAGAACACTGCCTTTTCAAGCAGCTGCAGCAAAACCTCAGCCCTCGTTTCGGGCCACTGACTCTGGGCCCAGTCCCACAGGACATCCTACCAATCTCACCCCAGCAGTGATGCAGTGGTACACCTTGGGCTTCTGCGAAGTGACATCTTTCAGATACTCTGGTGGCTTTTGGGACAGGTGTACCGTTGATGACCTAGGCAGTTCCACTGTGTTCTTGAAGGTCGAAATCTCTTAATTTTCACAGTTTGGGGGTTTTCTGACTTTACTTACACAAAGGGTACTGGACCAAATTTCTGATTTTCATTAACCACTGCATCAGCCCCTGTCCACTCTTCCCACTTTGGTTTTTCACATGCGAAGACAGGGCATCTCTACCCAATACTTACCTGCAACTTGGGGCTTACTTGTCCCCTGAGCAAGTCTTGTTGATTTGGTGTGGAAAACAGATCTTGACCGCATTTACTTCTCTTCACTGGGACTGTCATGGATATTGTCTCTGGCTGGGGTCTCAGATCCCCCACCTGGTTCTCCACATAGCCACTCAGCACTCTGAGCAAAGCAGATCACCCACAGCCCTCACAGGATCTCCCCAAACTCAGGAGGCTTCCTGTGACCTTCCCTGGCAGCCCCTCTCTCGCCCCTGCTGTCCACAGTGGGCCCTCTGAGAACCTCCCAGCCTTGGGTCCCCTCGGCCTCCAGCCTCTTCTTTGCAGGAGCTCCTGACAGCTCCCTCCTGCCCCACCCTGCCAGTTTCTCCTCCACAGAACTCTCCTTCCCACAGTAGCACTGGTCACGATCAGTCTGTCCACAGAGGGTTGGGTGTTTATTTGCTCTCTCTCTGACTGGGTCCATCCCAGACAGCAGCTGGGACTCTGTCTGTTTCCCTTCCCTGAGCACAGGGAGCCTAGCTCAGGGGCAGGCCCAGCGGGAAATATTTTTTCAGTGAATTCTCTGTCTTCCTCTTTACTTCTGGTCCTCTCCTGCTGTAAACACAGGCTGCAAAGGAAAGGCTCTTCGGGTGAGAAAACCTTTACCAGCAAAGAAACAAAGGCAACATTTAAAACTTCAATTGCATGAAAACCCAAAGACAATGTTTTACAAACATATAAATTATTTTATTTACAAAGCCATGTTACAAAAAAAAAAAAAAAAAAAAAAAAAAACAAAACCAAACTAAAACAAAACAAAACAAAACAAAAAACCCCCCAAAACCCCAAACCTAAAAACAATCGCTCACTGGAGAATATTTCCAGGCCTGGTGGTGAACCACTCAGTATCAATAGATACATGTTTGTTCTTTCCTTTTGAAACTGTAAGCCATAGAATTTACTATTTACACCTACTTCAGACATTTATTCTGCTTACAATATCACAGGCATGGAATGGATTCTATCTGATAGTGCTAAGACATAAAGTACGGGACAAAGGAGGAAAATACTTCGTGTTACAAAATATGGATCGTAGAAAAGAAACCCACGCACAAGTGTGGCATTTGTTTAGAATGATTGGACATGCTTTCTTCAAAATTCTTCTGGAAAAGAGTCTAAAATCGGTAGTAGGAAAGGACAAATGAGCAGGTGCAAATTCTTATCTGTGCAACAACGGTTATTTAATATATCCCATGACGGACCAGCTACGTAAAACCCACAGAGTTTTGTTAAAGTGCCATGGGCCGATAGCATAACAAAATAGAAGGTGTAAATAGAAAATTTCTTCTTTTTTTTTCCTTTGTTTAAAACAAGAGTTCACTGAGAATCAGCAATAATAGAATATGCTGTATAAACTATTCGCTACAAAGGTTGATCAGCATTATTTACAACTGGTACATTGATACAAAAGAAGGCATACAAGTAATCCAAGTCGCTTTTTTTTTTTTAAATTTTATGGCTGACAGGTCTATGCATTGCGTTATGCTTTAACAACCAGAGCTTTCGAGCCTCTATGGCTGGCGACAAGTCAGGAGATCTTCAGGCAAATCGGGGTGTGTGCAGTCGAGGGGCCGGGAGAAAAGGCCGAGTGGCATGTGAGGAACAGAAAGACCCGAAGGAGATCACCCTAATAACGCATGATAGGCTGGTCCAGTTGAACTCCGTGAAAACAAACCCAAAGAAAACCTTTTATTTGCATTCCATGTTTTCAAGCTGCAAGTTTTTTTTTTTTTTTTTTTTTAAATACATCGTTACAAAGTAAACCTGTGGTTGATTGCAAAGGAAGAAATACCGTGGGTTTTCCCTTTTTGCTCAGTTTTCCAGAAGTGTCTGTCCTCATCTTGGTCAGAGCCAGTCTTTCGAGAAAGTAAGCAGCATTTGGTGGGGAGCCTCTGTTACTCCAGCTTCCGCTTAGAGACTGGAGCCTGAAAATGTTTAAATCTGGCGAGTAACTCCTCAGTCCCTGTCGAGACAGTATACCTCAGAAGTAGCCACTTCATCTTTCAATCTTTGTTTTCCCTCTCCGAGTTTAAGAGTTTATAAATCAGAGGGTTATTCTGTTGCTGAGATTTTTCTGTTTTGTTTTACTCCTGCAAGTTTTACAACTCAAAATAAATTATTAAAAAAAAACAATAGACTTCTAAAACCGAACGAGACAAAAATTGTGCAAAAATAACAAAGATATGTACACACTTTTCAGTCTGAAGAAATGTACAATTAAAAACATAATTCAAAGAACATTTTAAAAATATAAGCATTGCTTCAACTTTCCTAAGTTTCATATTGTTTCTGAAACTATTCTGGTCAGTTAGCTCTGTAATATAGTAAAACATAAATTATTACAAAATTAACACTATAAAATTTTTCTTTAAGAATATCTTCTGAACTTTTTTTCAAAGGGTCTAACCTTGTTTATAATTTCTTAAACATTTGTAAGTCTTAAAATCTGCCTTAATCTTTTAAAAAACAAGCAAACAAAAAGTAACAATCATCCCTTTAATTTGCAGTCTCTTTTTTCCCAAGACGTAAATAAACCAGCATATAAGTGCACTTTTAACACTGTAGAAATAAAAAAATGAAATCATCTGAACTAATGTCCTGGTACTTAATATCAACTCCTGATTTTTAAAAAAATCTTCATTTTTATATTAAAAAATTTAGTAATGCTATAAGAAACACTGTCAGTGCAATTCCATGGATTCAAATTGCTCCGTTTGCCTTCCATCCTCGCGGATTCCAAGCGCGTGAAACTTAACAGTAGTCTGATCTTTGGGTGGGTGGGTGTGTGGGGGATGGGAAAGGAAAGGAAAAGTCAGGGAGGGGCTGAGGGGTGCCCAGCTGGGAAAGGTGCATTCATTTTGGGTTTGGGATGGAGCAGATCCTCGTGGTACCTCTGTGATCTAGTGTATCACCAATTACACACACACACACACACACACAGCGGGCCATGTTCTAGGCTGGATTCCCCATCAGAGCTATGCTACTGCCTGCTGCTTCTTTCAAAGCTCCAGCGTGAATAGCTGTAGCACTCAGGGGCTGTCAGTCAGCTCTTCTTCACCAGGGCCCATCCTTCTCATTTATCTTGGGGAGGCAACACTAGTATTTATGGGGTTTGGCTCTCCCCGGGGGCAGCCCTGATCACCTTGGCTCTGGCTCTCCTCCTCTGGGAACTGCTTTTTCCCTGGGATGTCTTAGACTCTCGAGAGCTCACCTAACTCTGAGATTTTGCACAGTCACTTTGCCTCGGAAGGGACCCTGCAGAGTAGATTCCAAACAAGTGCAGGCCATCACAGACACCTGATTTCTATCATTTTGGCCCCATGCTCTGCTTCTGATTACGTTGCTCTGCCCCTGGCCGAGTACACCTCTAGTCAGTGGTGTCAAGCAAATCACATCATTAAATGGCCACTATTCTTGATTTTGCCCCTGGCATTTGGGCTCTAGAGAGGGGAGCTAAGGAAGTCTGGGCACCCCAACTATCCTCAACTCTCCTCCCCAGCTGTCCTGGGACAGCTAACAACCTCTGATGACCAGTGGGGGACCACTGAGTGGCAGGTGAGGGGAGGGGTGGAGGAGAACGGGCAGAAGACAAGGAAGGAAAAGAGCTTTGTACGTGCCAAAGTTCAAGAGCTTCAGACAGTGTTGACCTGGAACTGACATTCTGTGACCTCTGCCTCCAGGGCCCGAGCAAGCCGATGGGGCAGTAGTAGCATCAGGAGCTGGCGCAGGGGACCCCACATTTGGAAGAATGTACAAACATGGCAAATGAAAAAAAGAGAAAAAGAAACAAAAAGAAAACACTGGTATTGTTCTCTGTAAATCTCAAGTTCATGTTCTTTTGTCGTTTTCTTTTTCTTCAAAACTAAAAATTGGTCAATTAAGAAGAAGAAGAAGAGGAGGAGGAGGAGTAGGAGGAGGAGGAGGAAGAGGAAGGGGAAGGAGAAGAAAGGCCAGAGCATAGGCACCCAGGAAGCACTCTCCACTGTGTCCAGTGCTCTCTCCTCCTGCGCCTTGGGTGGGTCATGACCAGGAACTGGATCGGAAGGGGCTTCACAGTCTTGTTATGGAAGCGTCCTTATCCTGCCCATTCTGTTTGTGTTCTTCTAGGAAAGAAAAGAAAAACTTTTTCAAAACCATACATTTGGGATGAGCCTGAAAATGTAGGAACAGAGCCTCAATTTTTCCGACAGCAGAAAGGGTAACACCCCAATTCCTGCACACATGGCAAAGGCCTGCTGTGACAGGCACTTGGCTGGATGTACTGTAAGGGGCTCCATGCAAGCGGGCATGACGGTCCCACAGCGGGAGGGAAATCAGGGCCAGATGTCATAGATATTCCTGAATTCCTTTCCAGGAGAGAGGTGTGGAGTATCTGAAGTCTTCACTTCTTGTCTCTTCGTTCACTTTTTCCTACAGAACCTATTCTGTAACATAGCATATTCTGTAACATAGCCATCCTCACCTACAGTGTTGGGTTAACGTAGAGGCTTTAGATATACAGATTTTGGGTTCAAATTACATAGCTTCTTAGTATAGCACTCCTGTGATTAATTTTTTGAGACAGGCTCACTATGTAGTTCAGGCTGGCCTTGAACTCTTGGCAATCCTCCCGTCTCAGGCTCCTGAGTCTTGGGATGACAGGTGTGTACCACCATGCCTGGCCCTCCTGCATCAAATGAGTATGATCCAGGATGCTACCAGTTTGTATACACACACACTCCATTCTGTAATGTAAGCAAAGGGCTTCCCACACTGCCTGCAAGGAGGGCTCAGCTGGGGTTCTCTGTTGTTTTATTATGCATGTGTCAAGGCTGACCTGCTGGGGTCTGCACGCCCAGCAAGGGCACCTGAGGCTCTGGGCTCTATAGCTCACTAGGTGAGGGTAGACAAACCCAGCAACCCAGCAGCCTCAGGGAGAGGCACTGACGCTGACGTGGGAGCCCCTCCAGAGCAGCACACAAGTGCTCAGGCACAGAGCCACAGCTGCTCAAAAAAGGTGGGGTCACCTGGCACTTGGGGCTCCACAAACAGTCAGTCCATAATCTTTGCTCAAATGCTACTCAGAGGTTTTGGGAAATCTGAAAGAGTAAAATACAAACACTTTGCTATTTGGTGTCTACAAAAAGTACCTCTTGTCTAAGACAACCCGTTTTCCAGTCATACTGGGCTCAGCTTCCCAGTAGAATGGATCCAGACTCTGACTCCAGCACTGGGCAAAGCCCTTTGTCTCGCTCAGACTTACACGGCCACGACCGTCACACCTCGACCTCAGAAAACTTAAGGCTCTCTGGAAAATCCCCATGGTGAGGCAGGTCTCGAGGACTCACTAGGCTTTGCAGACTGCTATGCACTATGGGTCTGCGTCCATTCATCAGCAGTGTCCGATTCTCAGGTTCTATAGCACTCTTAGGAGGTGGGCATCAACTGGCCATTGAACAGATGCAAACACTGAGACCCACAGAAGTACTCTGCCTAAGGTCAGACAGCTGGTAAGAATAATAATACTTGTCATAGTCAACACTTGTGGGTTTGCTACACAAGAGCCTTTGTGTGAATAAGTTAATTAATCTGCACAAAAGCCCTGAGGTGAGGGGCCATTATGATCTCTGCTTTCTAGGAAAGGAAACGGAAGCATAAAGAAGTGAATAACTTGTTCAAGGATGTACAGCTGGTGACTGGAAGGCTGAGGCATGGAAGCCAGGGAGCTGCTCTCGTAGAGGACGGGAGGTCTACACGTGGGGTGCACCCTGTGCCCAACCCTCCCACCATGATGCAGGCTCTGGGTTGTGCCCCCAGTGACTCACCTGTCGGTTGTGTCCTGGGCTGGGGATGCTTGCAGGACTGGATTGTGACAAAGCTAGGCTGCTGTTTTTCCCAACCTGAAAGACACCGGTGAAGCCTGCTCAGACCCCCAAGGTGGTACAGGGGAGGCTGGACAGACAGAAACCACAAGTCGCCAGGAGAAGAGAGGGCTGCTTAGCATATCTCGTCCCTTGTGCTGGTCAGAGCTGAGAGTGACAGGGGCTCCGAGGCCCCTGATGGCCAGACTGTCTCAGGATGGAGGCCTCGCCGAGAGCCCTCTCTGCCCCAGCGCTGGGCTCAGCAGGGGTCCAGCCTGCCCACCTGTGGCCAAGCAGCCCATGAGCTCTTCCAGCTCTGACCACATCACAGGCCCATCTTGTTTTGAGTTTGGTTCCACGGAGCCACTGCATACACCTTGGCCTGTCCCTAGTCAGGTATCCCCAGCAGAAGACAGCACACAGGAAGCCAGGCGAGGTAGCACCTGTGCTGAGCGAGGTCCTCCTACAGGACTGGGGGCACGAAGGGGTGGTCCTTCCTACGGCCCTCAGGGCAGCCTCCTGTCCCTCACTCATCTGCAAAGCTGTTCTCTGTCCTATCCACACCTTCTCTACCTTTATCACCTCTGCAGAAGGATGCTCGCTCTTTACTCAGTTTGGTTTCCTGATCAGTTTCACATCATGCTGGCCTTCCACCGATACTATGAGATGCATGTAGCTGGAACCTCAAATTGTCTCTGCTAAACCTCTAACAGGAGTAGAATGGACCCCACAGGCCTATGCCTTCCCCCACACATGGAAACCAACGGCAGTAGCCCTGGACAATCAATGGCTTTTCTCCTTGGCTGGCAGGAGGGAACCAGCTTGGAGCAGGCCCCAGGCAGTGCCTAAGTGCATTGATTTTGTTTCTTTAAATTCCCTTCTGATGTGCATGGTCTGGCAGAGGCTTGTCTGCTCCTTCGGCCCGGGTTCTGGCAGATCTGTCAGGTCGTCTGAGCATTTCCCACACTCCTACAGGCAATGCACTCAATGGAGGCCGAGGGCCCAGACTCCAGCCAGAACCAGAAGGCCCAGCTGAAATCCTAGCCCTGCTTTTCACTTGCCATGTGACTTTGGGAAGCAAGCCTAACTTCTGGTGCCTTGGTGGACGCATCAGTGAATGGGGGCATGGTCAGCTAATAACTGAGTTTATATCCGAAGAGCTGGAACAGAGACCATCCCAGGCGCCCACTACTGGAATTTTACCGGAAACAATGGGGACACCATGGCCTTGTAGAGGCCGACACCCTGCCTGTGCGCCTGCTGGATACCTGGACTCCCTGGCTCTGCCCCGCCTGCTTGCCCCCATCTGCATTTTCCCGAGAGCCCCGGTGTGCACATTGCAGTCTGAGCGCTCTGGCGGTGCTCTCCAGCCTGAGACAGAGGTGCTGCACAGCTGCGGTTTAGCTTCGGGGAGGACCTTCGGGCACCACCTGCACCCACTCCTGCACTCAAGTTGGGTAGAGTCAGGCAGGAGGCCGAGGGCTCATCTCCTCTCACCTCAGCCGTGGCTGCAGCTCTCAGCCCCTGGGTTGCACACTTGCTGAAGCCTGTGTGTCCTTGTGATTTGGGGGCCCCCCAGGAGCTGTTCTTTGTGGGTTTTAGCAAGTCTCATACACAGTGACGTAAAACATTACAGCACCTCTTAATAGCTGCCTCCCATCTCTCCAGAGTCCTCCCTCCTGACTCAGGGCTGGGCCTATCTCCGTGTAGCTGTGACCCTCAGGCGTGGGGGCAAACCTTGGCTGTGATTTCCACATGGGGTCGAAAGGAGCTTGGGCTGTGCCTTTTACTCTCACTGCTGGGTGGGGTGGAGTGGGTGTGGCCTTTCCTAAAAAGTTCCCCCATGCTTCGGAGACAGACTGGATTTGAGAGTGGGATCAGAGCCTGGGGAAACTGTTTATTTTTTTTGCGGGTATCAGGAATCGAACTCAGGACCTTGAGCTTGCCAGGCAGGGGCTGAGCCACTAGCTATATTCCCAATCCAGAAACACTTTCTTTTGGGCCCACCCACCCACCTGTTCTGGGGATAAGGCACTCCCGTGGTATGGTGGCAGAGGGAGCAGCTCTGCCCCTAGGTGGTGGTCTCAGTTTTACACAGGAGAACAGTTCTATCAGGAGGAGGTGGAGTCATCCAGGCAGGACACAGGTGCTCACAGGCTGCCACTCATTCCCCAGGTGGGCTCCTGGCGTCATTTAAACGGTCTGGGGGTTCACAATAGATCAGATCAAACTTCTCTGTGACAGAACTCTTTAATGAAATTGTCCTTGGAACTTCAAGATATAAAATAGAAGTCGAACAGGGAAGTCAGAATCCCTGCGTGCCTCAGTTTGCCCATCTGTGAAATTGTGACAAGGGTTCCAGCTACTCTGGGTAAGACCGAGGATTGAAGGAGGTGCTTGCTGCAAAGTGCTTTGCCCAGAGCCTTGTCTGTAGCACTGGTTAAATAAAGTGCACTCAGAGTACAGAGTGCAGACGGCCCAGGCGGGACCCAAGGATAGGAGCCACACTTGTGTCACCTGTCTGAGCCACCTGGCCAAGCAGGGGCACTGCCCAGCTCCCCCTGCCCCCCACAGCTGGTGAAGGCAGTGCCAGGTGGTGCCTTACCTGCCGAGAGGAAGTGCTGTTAACGGGATCGGACACCGGTGCGAGAAGGCTGGGCGGGTTCTTTTTGTGAACGCTATTCATACCAGGCATTTTAGTGATTTTACAGGCTTTGCTACTAGCACTCGAGTTCTTACGCTTTTTTCCTTCTGATTTGTCAAAAGAGAGGGGCAGAGAAGACACGGCATTGTGTGAGGCTAGAGAGAGGTCCCCTGCGTGGAGTGAGAGGGAGGGCACAGAGAGGGGACAGGAGTCACTGCTGCCGCCCACCGTGCACACCTGTCTCGCTATGTCCGCGGGGCCACTGGGCAGCGAGGTCCGTCCTGAGGGGTCCAGCTTGGCACTGAGTGGGCTCACCCCATTGTTGGAGCTGTGCACAGACAGACTGGTATAGGGGGGCGCCACCTGATAGGAGTTCAGAGCAGAACTGGCATTCAAAACACAGTTCTTTCTGTGGGGCCCTGACAGTGGAGACGTGAGGGAGGTCTGCAGGGACAAGGAGGAGGAGGAGGAGGAGGAGGAAGAGGAAGTCGAAGGCTGCGGCTTCCTCTTTTTGTTACTTGGAGACTCGTCGCTACGGACAGACAGGTCTTTGACTTTTGAGGATTTGCTGGTTTTGGTTTTGGATGGCTTGTGGGATGGGGAAGGGATGACAGCTGGTATTGGGGAGACGGCAGATGGGGCCTTGAAGGTTGAGTCCATGATGCTGAGGGTTGCGGCCACATGGGGGAAAGCTGTGGTGTGGGACATGAGGACGCGTGGGTCCGACGATGCCACAAAAGCTGCGTCTGAGAGCATGGCGGATGTCATTATGTAAGAAGAGGTGAGTCTCGAGCTGATGGGAGCTGAAGGAAGATACACAGCACTGGGGTTGCTGAAAGGCTGCAAGACGGATGCCGGCACGGGGGTGGAGGTGTGGGCTGCTGGCGAGGGCAGGGGGCTATCTGCCGCAGGAGGGATCTTCCTAAACATGAGAGAAGAGCCAGAGAGAAACAGTGAGACATCGGAGGGTGCTGCTCGGAGGCTCGATGACGTGTGAGCATCGGGCGACAGGACAGCCGGCGGGACCCAGACTATGGAGGATGGAGGGTCTGAGGATGGCCCTTCCTCACGCTGCCCCGCTGCAACACCGACGGCTGCTTGCCAGTGTTCAGCTCTGTTCTCCAAGCTCAGCTACCGGAGCACGGCTTGGGGCTCACTAATGAGTGGTGGTGCTGTGGACTATGCATGTCCGGGAGCATCCTGTCTGCTATTGTCAGTTTGGCAGTGAGGAAGGTGGTTTTTATGAGAACTGGTCATTTTACATCTAGGTTTTGGCTTGCAGTAGGAAACAGGAGGATAGAAATTGATTGCCTGGGGCATGTGGGTCAGAGCTTCCCCTCTGACCACTGCAAGCCCATTCCTACCCTCTGTTCCCCATCTTGCACCTGGCTGGAGCATCCTGGAAATGGTCTCTCCCTACGGCCAGCATCCTGCTGTGCTGGCTGGCTGCTTGCTCTGGTTATTCCAGGGAGAGGCATTTCCGTGCCACTGGCTCCTGGTGGTCATGGAGGGTCAGGAGGTCAGGAAATAACTAAGAGCTGCCTGTGCCTGAGGCTCTTTACAACCTAGCTTACTTCAGCTCCTGCTCAGAGCGGTCATCACAGGGCTGCCTTCAACAGGGCTTCCTGTCCCTGTTACGAACAGGTCAGACTGTGGGGACCCTCACACATCCAGAGCAGGGGATGGGAATTTAGTATGTTTTGAACACAAGGCAGCAACTGAGGAGGGAAAGCAATGCAGCCAGGGGGGAGAAAGGAGAGCCCCAGTTTTCCTCTTTGGCTTTCCTGGAGCTGGGACGAGAGTGATGCCTTCAAGTTGAGTCCCTGGGGCCCAGGCTGGCGCCAGGCAGGGGTTTGTCCCTGGGGCCTCTCTGCAAACTGTCTTTTGACTTGTGCTGGGAATGGTTGTTACATCTAATCTTTGGCCTAGGTTGATTCTGCTGTTGCTCTGGGGACCAGGAGAGGCACAGCAGCTGTGGGATCACCCCATTCCTGATTCTGCAGGAGAGAACACTGAGCTCAGGGGCTGAGTGTGCTCAAGCTGGTTCTTTCCTATTCCTCACATGGCTCCCCTCTGTGTCCCCCAAGAGCTGGTTTGCACAGGCTTACCAGTGGCTAAGGAACTAACTGTTTCTCTGAAAGCAGCACAGGATGGCAGGTGGGCCCGGGTCACAGGATGGGCACTCACTCTGCCCTGTTGTCTGGAGCCTGCCCTCCAGCTGGGGCACCAGGACCAGGTGCTGAGGGACCCTGGACAGAGGCCCTGTTGGAAAATAAGTGGCTCTCCTCTTATTTCTCTCTCTGAATAAGCCCTTCTCTGCCTGAAAGCAGTGGAACCTGTGACTTCCGTCTTCAGGGTGGAATCCAGAGGAATCTTTGAATATGGAAGCACAGTGTCCTGGACAAACGTCAGTCTGAGGAGATCAAATCTAAGAGAAAAATGTTGCCAAACCCACAGTGGCCATGACAGCGTTTGAAACTGACTTCCCCTTTGAGTCTAACAGAAAAGCTGCTGCAAGCACTCATCGAGGAGCTCCAAAGCCCTTGTTTCCATGAATGAATGAGGGATGGACAGATGAATGGATGGGTAGGCGGGTGGATGCGGTGAGCCGGTGAACTCTCAGCAGCAACATAACCATAGTGTCAGGGACTGTGCATGCTGGACAAGGACTCCCACAGAATCAGCCCGGAGAGGTCTGCACGTGTCCTCAGTGCTGCCTGGCGCTGCGCACCCATCCTAAGTGGGCCAGGGGACGTTTCTAGGAGCCGGCGGCGCCAGCAAACTTTCTTGCTGTCCTTGTCGCCTTGCTGCCTTAACTCCTGGCACCCACTCAACCTTTCCTCACCTCGACCTTCCTTCCCAGCTAAAGGAGAGGGAGAAACACAGGGTGGGGAGGTTCAGCAGTGACTTACGGCGAAAGGCTATTTACAAATACCGGAAGGGTCATGGAGGGAGGACCCATTTGATGACCCTGAATGAGATCCATGCTGAACGTCCCAATTTATATTTTTCCCACTCAATTGTATCAATTCACGCTGTGACTCGTGACAACTGGTGGAGCCGAAGGCCTGACTAACTCTTACCCGGGCCCCACTCAGTATCGAGTGGGTGCGACTTTTGGAATACTCTGTCCTAGTCTTTGCTCTCCCCACTAACCCTCAGTGGGCATCACGGGCAGTGGGAGTCAGGGCAGGAGGAGAGGGGCAAGGGGCCACCCCGGGAGCCACTGTCCCCTAGGCTGCACACTGTCTGTGCTCTCTCTCCAGGTGCCAAAGGGCAGCGGGCTGCAGCTCTGCCGGGCTGTGCGCTCTGCCTAGGGAAGTCCCGTGCAAAAGCCCACAGATGCGAATCCATTCCTGACAGTGCCCATCCTCCCCCGCCAGCTGGCGTGGAGATCCAAATGCTGACCTGGCTGAAAGAGAATACTGTGCTGGCGTCTCCTGATGCAGAGTTAAATGCTTGTTAAAGAAAAAAGAGTCTTGGCCGTTCTTTTTCTTCCTAATGTCTTCCATGCCCCCATCGGCTGCCATCCCTCCAGGTTCGGGCCCGTCGGGGCCTGGAGTTTGGGCAGTGAGGCCGAGAGGGCAGCGGGGCGCTACGCTCTCCAGAGTTGACACCCAGGCAGCCCCAATGTTGCTCAGTGACAGCAGATTGGTTAGGCAAGTCCTGAACAGGGGGGAGGGACCTGATGCCCGGTGGCTCGGGCTTCTGTGCCTGAGGAGGAAAGGAATATGGAGCTTGAGCTGACAGGACAGCAGGGAGCGAAGAAATACAGATCAACACATTCCTTCCACGTGTCCTGGGTTTATCTCCCACAGCACTGGGGGCAGAGGGCCGGGAGCCACCTCGGGACTAGTGCAGCACACAGGCCCCAACCCAGGATGGGGCTGCCCTGAATGCAGCGCCCCGGCTGCAGTTCTGCTCGGACACGGGGAGACCTCACTCCAGCGGGAAGAGACCGTAAGCTTCTCTGTGGCCTTCTCCTGCCTTCCCTGAAAGGTCAACCTGGAGCCCTAAGTGCCCAGGGAGAGCTGGGGCAGACCCGATGGGGCGCGTCTGGGTGGTCATTGTGTAAAGGGGCCAAGGGGCCACCGCGGCCTGGATGGGAGTCGGGGAGCTTGGGGAGTTGTGGCTTCTGTTCCCTGCTGCCTCTCAAGGGCCCTTCTTCCTCTCCTGGGCTTCCTCTGGGTGGGGGCCAAGACTTCTCTCAGATTGGGACCTCTGGAGACCCCCTTGGGAGGAGTGGGACACCCAGCTGTGGGACTTCCATTACTAAGTGGCAAGGTGTAGCCTGCCCCTTGTGGCTTGAAGTGGCGTGGCCTGTTACTCCTTCCCAAGTGTTCTCCCAAGGGAAGGCTTCTTCCCTTTTCCGGGAACCGCCTATGAAAGTGTAAGCACACGGGAAAGTGCTAGAGAAATAAAAGGTCCTCAGAGAAATGAATGCAAGCTGCAGTTTAGGGAAGGAAGAAGGACAGGAGAGGGGAGGCTGGTGCTCTTTGAGGTGGGAAGGGCCAAAGACAAACTTAACCCCCTTGACGGCACTGTGTGCAGTCTGCCCTGTTGGCAACTGTACATGTACTTTCCGTAGTGCTTGGTCTCTAACCATTATGAAACGACACTTAGCACTGCTATGGTAGCATCAACAAATAGCAGCATATTCTTAACATCCTTTGATGCTCTGAGTAGTAATAAAGAGGCCCCAAATGCTATCAAATAAACAAGATCTCGTCTGAGGTTCCTTTCATCGAGTTTAGATTACCAACGCAAAAGGATCTCTGAGAAGGCAAAGCAAACAGCACATTTTATGTATCTTTGTAAATCCCTTCAGGCAAATCCTTAAGAAGGGTTGACATGGAAAATTAGTCGCGAATACTGATTTTGGGGTCATTTTGCTCTATGAAAAGCCAGCTGCTGACATTCATTTAGAAAATTAGGGTTGGGTAACCTGGGGGCAGCTCTGATCTTAGGTCACACACTTACTTCCACATCTGTGAATTCAAGTGTTTTTCTACCATGGAGTTTAGTGCGAATCGGAAACGGTCCCATCTTCTATCAAACACATAGTACCCTCGTCCCATGAGGCGACTTCCAAACGAGCAAAACTGTGAGGGAAGAAAAAACATTTTAATTTTGATTACAGGTTAATAAGCTAATATAAACCACACAGAGAAAAATAACATTTGCATAAAAACACACAGGGGTACCGTTTGACTCAAAATAAAGCAGCAAATGCTACCAAAGCCAAAAATATTTCCATGATGCCGTGGTTTGTGCTTTGGGGGTCTGTGGAAACTCACATTATGACTAGACAATAGCTACATTCAGTTTTCTGTGGCTCAGAGGGCTGCGTCCCCTACTCCTGGGACTGAGCTAGCATTTTAGAATGAAAAGCAAAGAAACAACAAATAAGCAGCAGCCTGGGTGATTTTTCAGCTGCATCTGTTCATCACAATTCATCTTGAGGAGCTCGGCACAGAGCTCTGTGTTCCTGGTCACACTTTTCCTATCTGATGTCACAGAGCCACTTCACTTCCCACCAGGCTCAACGCTTCCAGCTGTGACACGTGGCCTCTGCTTCCCTCTCATCCATCCTTCTGGGCTGCTCAGGACACATCTCAAACCTACTACTCGTGCTCCATTTGACCTGGTGTTATGGTTTGTGTGTGGGTGGCCCCCCAAGCCTCATGCAGTCATGGAGGCAGCTGAGTCTAGTGTTGTGATTGGTTTGTTGTCCAGCGCTGGGATTGGTGGTGTGAGTGCTGCACCCGCGCAGGGGCAGGGAATCGGTGTATGATATAAGGCAGAGGAGGAGGAACTGTTTTCCCCTCAGCCACATCACTCTGCCTTGAGCCAGCTGAGTATAGACGGAAACCTCCAAAAACTGTAAGCTAAATAAACCTTTCCTTCCTTCATTTTGAGCATTGGCACTTCGTCTCAGAAATGAGAGAAAAGTAACTTCATGGCTTCATCCTGAGCATCACTGCCTGGCTGCTTGATGTCCATGTACCTGAGGACTACCATTGTACAAAGAGTGGGGACCTCATCCTCTTCCACTTCAGCATGAGGATCGCAGAGCTTTGGGGTGAAGAATGGATTGGTGAGATGAGGTCCCACAAAGACATGTAAAGCAAACCACTGCATTTAGAACACATTGCTAAATATGGGCATTCGGAGGCTTCATAAACACCATGTGATTATGATGTTAGGACGACAGGCAGGCCAGGAGACAGAGATGCCAAGTGGTGGCCCCTGAGAAGGTGACATTTGGCTGATCTGGAGCACAGGCGAGCCTGAAAATGATTCTATGACTCAAACGCGGCATCCCCTTCTTGGGCTCCCAGCAGCTCCCTGGCCTCCGTCCCAGATGCAGTGCTGGGTTGGCACCCACTCCACAGACCCATCCCGGAATCAGCCTTTGGAACAGTTCTTAGGAGGAAATGCAAACCTTCCCTTTGTTCTGTCTCATTTGTGTTTGGGGGTGGGGGTTGCACTGAAATCCTGCCCCCCCAATCCTGTGAAACCTGCAACCCATGTTAGATTCTCTGCAACCTTCATGTTAGATTCTTTTTTGACCATGCCAGAAAACATTATGAGAGAATTCCCCAACACCGATGCTGCTCCCAGCTTACTGTGGAAGCTGTCCCAGGTCTAGACATCATGTCTTCCTTCATCTATTGCAAGGACATGCTGAATGAGCGTTAGTTACAAAGAACCATTTAGTGTGTCAGTTGGCTGTGAGACAGACCACAAAGCAAAGAAACAAATTGCGACTTTCCCACTTAACCTTGCAAAGCACTGGGGACATGCAGATGTGCAGTCCCCAGAGCACAGTTCACCTCCTTTGGACAAAGGTCTTGCTGTCTGGCCTTCTAGCAGAGCCTGTGTCTCTTTCATATTCCAGAGCCAGGGACACCTTTCAGTCTTGGCTGCCTATGCAGCCAACTTCACACAGAAGCAGGGCCCAGTGGCTGGCGAGGTGCCCATTCCACCGGCACATTGTGTGTGTGGCCACCGTGAGGACCCTGAGGGCCACCAGCATCACCTCGGTGTGCACTCACGCCTGCCCCTGTCTTTTCCTTGTTAACAGGACAAGGCTTTTGTTCTGCTATCTGCCCTACAGCAGTAACAGGAGGTGCGTCTTCTGAAATCTCAGGAAGAATCACAGCTGGGCAACCCTGTGTCACTGCAATCTTTCCCTCAGTGACAGCGACTGGTGCAGGGATGGAAGTGACCCAGTTCTGGCACGCAGAGGGGGAAGTCGGCTGAGGGCTTCACAGGGAGGTTTTTTTTTTTTAAACTAAGTCCCTCAGAAGACTCTTTCCCTGTTTGTCTCTTTCCATTCTTTACGGAATGCTGGTAAGTGAGGCGATGATATTGGAGCTGCCATGGACACACTGAGTCCATGTGTGAGGGTCAAAGGTGGCCGTGGTGGCAGTCCCTCAGCCCTCTGACACAGCAGAGACACCAAAGTGAGCTTGGCAGTTCCTACCTCTAGACTTCTTGCTGCGTGAGACCAGGAAATGTCTTTGGTACTTGTGCATATGAGCTGAGTTTCCTACTGCTGCCAAGCCAAGGTGTCGCACACTATCCCTGACACTTTTTGTACTGGCCAAGAGACAAAGGCCCAGGCTGCGGGTAAGCCACGGGCAGCACCTTCCCCAGACACTGGGAGTGGGAGGGAGGGAGTCAGAGGAATGATTTCCCCTGCAGTCCCTGAGGTGTGTTCAGGCCGCCCCCCAGTAACCACACGGGGTTCCCTGTTCGAGGCTCCTGCATTTGGCTCTGTGATGGTTGCATGGGGTGTTTCCTTCCTCAGTGCCCAGAAAGCAAATGTAAGCCAGTTCCAGCTGATGCCTTGATGGCCCCCTTTAGATCCAATGACCTTCTGAGCCTCCGAAGTGGACTTATCTAAGCAATGGGCAAGAGAGCACCTGTTTTGTTAATAAGCAATCGTGCTGACACAGAATACTTCCTCCTGCCCTCCACAACTCTCTCTCAGTTCTCTGCCGTGTGCTCATGCTAATAACAACAGAACCAAGAGCCCCATGGAGGGCTCGCACCCAACACAGTGCTAATGCAGTTTCCAGGGCAGGCGGGCCGGCTAACCCTGGACACCAGGGCGCCACGTTTAGACAGGCAAGGTCGGAGGGGTGGCTCCTGGAAACACCCTTTCTCAACAGTCTCACTTCATGGTGGACAGCAGACACCCGGGTGCTTCAAGGGAGACTGCCAGCCGGAAGCCCTTCCCTTTCCTTCTTGATGTCGAGAAAATTTCCGACGCAGGCATCCACACTTACGGTAGGCCTTTGGTTAGGCGACCCTGGCGCCCTTTCCACGGTGTCCGCAGAGTGCAAGGAAAGGGTGTGAAGGGACAGGAGGAGGCCTTACCGCGAGAGGTCTGGGGTGGTGCGTGGAGAACTGACAGTCTAACTTCTCGGGCTCGTCGGCTCCATCCATTTCCCCTTCATCACTGGATAGCCGGCTGGAAAGGTCACTTCCAGCTGGGGGCAGAGCGGGCTCTGGAGTGTAGGTGCTGTGATTGGAGGACGCGCTGCTGCTTATACTGTTTGCAGATGATGGTCTAAGGGCAAGAGGGGAGCAGAGCAGAATCAACTTTCCTGCAGACACAGGATCCAGCCAGTGTCATGCCACTCAGAGAGCACCCCGGGGAGCCAGCCACTAGGTCAGGGAGGCCAGGAAGGCGGCCACTTGGTAAGAGGGCAGCGGTTAAGGCTGAGAGGTCATGTGATCAGCTGTGACTGGTGATGATGGGGTGTTAAATTAAATTAAGTGTTAGGAAACTGATCATCGTGGCATGAAAAAAGGTTTCGTTATCATCAGAGGCCACTGGCCCTTTCTGCCATGGTTTCTTTTTCTTGTTTTGTCTTTTTGAAATAAGGTCTCTATGCAACTCAGGCTGGCCTTGAATTCCCTTTGGAGCACAGGCTGGTCTCAAAGTTGTAATGATCCTCCTGCCTCAGCTCCCAAATGCTGGGATTATAGGCATGCACCAACCATGCCCTGCTGTTCTGCCGTAGTTTCTTGTTTTTAATCCCCCCCCCCAAATCCATTTTACTTCAAGGAGAAAAAGAATAAATAAAAAGAAGAAAAAATTTCTAAGATGACAATATGTAATCTTTTTTAAAAAAAAAGAAGAAGAAAACTAAAAATTTCAAAACACGTCAATCAGGGGGCGACAATGGTACATACACTGCACATTGTCATTCCCAAATCATTCACCCAGAGCACAAGACATCTGCATTTAGTTGTTCAAACAATACCAACACAAATCTTTCTCTTTAATGAACTTAGATAAATCAGTAGTAAAACTATTTTAACTATTTTTTACGTGCATATACATACACAAATGTTGTTTCTTTCAGCTTCTCACACTAATAAAACAATACAATGTTTACACATGTATATTTTACTAATGAGCATGGTCTCAAGTTGCATCCATTTACCTATAAAAGTCTCCAGTTTATCCTTCTTTATGACTGAGTAGTACTCCACTGTAAAAAAAGACACCTTTTTTATCTGTTTTTCAGTTGATGGGCATTAAAGTTGTTTCCAAGATCTGGCTATTACACACTGACCACCATAGTTTCTTATACTAACCTTTGCTTAGTTTAGTAGTATGTTCTGAGAACGTTTCATTTTAATTTTTAACAAGCTACTTTTATCAATTCCCTGGCATGGTCAATTCATTGTAGGTGTTGGAGAGATTTTTCTTAATGAAGGAATGGATTTAATCCCCTAAGACTGAGATCATCTAACAGATTTCATCTGAGTTATGACTACAGTTATAAAAAGCCATGTCACACCAATGGGCAGCACCATGTATTTCTAAATAGTAAAGAACAAAGCAAGCCAAAAATGGAAACAAATACACCCACATTAGTAGGAAAGTTAGAAGAGGAATAGTTGTTAGTATTTTTCCTGCTTTTTCACTTTCATCTGATGATTGATTAGGTAGAGTTGCCAAGAGGAAGAAAAGATTTTGGGGGGAAACACCTGAGGGTCTTGAAAGTTGCCCTTTCCAATCATGTTAGGGAGCACTTTTGACTTGGTGCCTTTCTCTCTCATTTTCTCCCTGGACTTTGTGTTGTCTTGAAATGTTTTCAGGTTTCAAATACCTGAGCGCAAAGCATATTCCAGAAGCACAGTCACTTAGAAGGCAGCCACCACGCCGGAAATAACCCACGCGTCTCCATAGATGCGAGGATAAATTATGGAGCACAGATGTGACGGAATAGTGTTCAAGCCTCCAAAACGAAGGCAATTCCGAGGCTCCCTGCGCTGGGGATGGAGTTTGAAGGCACCATGCTAAGTGAGTTAAGTGCAAAAGACGAATATTCCATGATCCCGTGTGCACCCGAGAGAGCGGTGGTCATGAGGAGCTGGAGGGGTGGGAGCTGGGATTTAATGGTGCAGAGCCTCAGCGGAGGCAGCGAGATCGTTCTGGACGTGGGTGGTGCTGGGACCGCCCTGTACCGCGGGGCACTTAATGACAGTGAGCTGTACATTAAAAGCGGTTACAGTGGCACAAGTGTGTTACACACATTTGTGCCACAAAGACAAGGGAGAATAAGGCCATGGGGAGGGTCATAACAATTCAGCTGGGATGACTATTATTGACTCTCACCTTCCTGGGCTTAGGAAAACAAGAACGCCACTCACTCCAGATGCTAAAGGGCGGGGCGTTCAAAGGCCACATCTCCCACCCGCTCAGTATCAGTTCCCCTGGGCTGGAAAGGGAAACAGTTACTTGATTACAGCTGGCGACCAGGCATAAGACAACTCAGATGACCCCAAAACACAGAAAGACAGAAAATAGCACTGCACCCCTGACACCCTCCGGATCAAGTACTATTAGCATTTTGATTTATGTCCCTCCCATCTCCTGTGCATATGTGTGCCGTGTGTGTACGTGGCTGTCTTCTGGCTTGTGTTCCTCCTGTGTCAGACTCCTGAGTAGCTGAGATCACCGGTGTGCACCACCACGTCCAATTATGCACATGAATTTTAAACTAAGACCTGAGCCACAATGTACCTGCTATTTTAGGGAATACTTTATTTATTTTTGGTCTTTTTGAGCCAGGGTCTCGCTATGCAGTTCAGGCTGGCCTCGAGCTTACTTTGTAGCTCAGGCTACAAAGTGGTCTTGAACTTGCCATGATGATCCTCTTGCCTCAGCCTCTGAGTGCTGGGATTACAGCCATGTGCCACCATGCCCTGCTTATTTTAAGGAATACTTTAAGAAAAAAGCAACCCAGTGATGTTGTGGGAATCTTTCATGTATTTTTAAAAAATATTCTCCAGTGATGCACAGTACGGAGACATCATAGTTAAGTAACCACTAACAATGAACATTTATTTTGTTTCCAAATGTTCTCATTGGCCCTTCTGGAAGCTCTCCTCACCATGAGAGGACCACCCTGTCCTTCAGGATGAAAGGGAGCCGGATTTTGTCAGTGTGACATTGGTACCATGGATATGCAGTGAATTAGCTTTGGAAGCCTCTGCAAGTAAAATGCCATGGTATCTGCTTAGTTCAAAATATGTAGAAAGAGCAGTATATTCCAAAATACTCGTATAACAACTTAAAACTAGGTAGGTGGGTATTCATCGCGCTATGCTCTCTGCTTTTCTGCACATGGAGATATTTCCATAACAAAAGTTAGAAAACAAACAAAAAAAGAGACAGTTAATAACACACATATAGGTAAGAAAGTTACTAAGTCATTTTTTTTTTTGGTATCAGGAATTGAACTCAGGACCTCACACTTACCAGGCAGGTACTGTGCCACTGAGCTATATCTGCAGTCCAAGTCATGTGTTTTTGTGTAATTTATTTTTCCAGATTTGAGGTATATATTATATTTTATGTAATGCATAGTTACACATATGCAATGTTACAATTTGACATATATGTATCTTATGAAATGATTACTATAATCAAATTAGTTAACATCACTTCCTATAGTTACCTTTCTTTTTCATAGTAAGAATACTTAATCTACTTCCTCACCCAGTTTCAAGTACATAATAGAATATTAATAAATACAAGGGGTGATCAAAATATATGACAAATGTTTAAATGAATTTTTATTACAGTAAGACACATGGCCATCAATCTTCCGCAAAATACTTCCCGCTTCTCTTTGAACATACTTATCCCAAGGTTCTTGTGACTTACAGAAGCAGTTCTAATGTCCTCTTTTGTGAGTGTCTTTTTTTGGTGGGGGGACAGAGTTTTGCTGTGCAGTTTGGGCTGGCTTTGAACTCACTTGATAGCCCAGGATGGCCTCAAACTTGTAAGGATCCTCCTGTCTCAGCCCCCAGAGTGCTGGGATTTTGTGTCTGTACGAGTCGTGATAAGGAATACAGACAATGCTGCTGTCAAGTGCCAGCCAACGCAAAGGCAGGCTTGGAAAAGTACTATGGGGTCCTCGCCCACCTCATTCACTGGGTTTGGCAGCCTGTGACTTCCGGCTCTTCCTCGGTTTCCCCAAAGGGAAACGTTTTAAATGGATTCGGGACATAAGGCAGCCAGGACAGCCTAACTAAAATAAAGACACTCACAAAAGAGGACCTGCAGAACTGCTTCAGAAAGTGGCCAGAGCCACGGGATAAGGGTGTTTGAAGCCAATGGGAGAATTCTGAGGTGAATTAGTGGCAATGTGTCTTTTTATTGGAATAAAAATTAAAGTTTCACAGTATTTTTTAATCACACTATATACTATTACCGTGCTGCCTGTTAGGGCTGCAGAATGTATTTACCTTATAGCTGAAAGCTACCCGGCATTCCCCCTCCATCCCTTTGCCCCTGGCAGCTCGCTTTCTACCCTCTGTCTCTAGGAATTTGATTTTTTTAGGGTTCACATTTAGTGGAAACATACACTTTTCTGTCTTTTTACTTGGCACTATGTCTTTGAGGTGCATATATGATGCTGACAATGGCAGGATTCCCTTCCTTTTAGCAGCCTGGTAATATTCCACAGTGTAATATATACCAAAGTATGTTTATGCACACATTCATCAGCAGACACTTAGGTTTCTTCCAAGGTTGGCTTTCATGAATGATGCTGCAGTGAACTTGAAAGTATAAAGAATTTCTTGCAAAATGGGCAGGGCAATCACACACATTACCTCTTTCTCTCCTCAAATCCTACTAAAAGGACAGTAAAGGGATAAAAAAAAGACATTGGTGGCAAAACCCAAAGAGACCAGCAGAGAAATGGTGACGGTTATGGTCATGATTTCCCAACACCCCTAAACTAACAGGAAGCCCTGTAATCTTGGCTAATAATGACTGGTTTAGAAAAGTGTATGAGAAACAAAAGAATAGTTTTCTGGGGGGCAGCTTTTGGAAAGAGACACGGGGCTGGGGTAGAAGAGGCTGACGGTGGGGAGGCTCTGTGTGTGCAGCGTCCGAAGCACATGGGAACCTCGGTACCTCCAGCTCAGTTTTACTGGGAACCCAAAGATGCCCTCATACACAAGGTATACTTTACAGAGAGAGAGAGAGAGAGAGAGACAGAGAGAGAGAGAGAGAGAGAGACAGAGAGAGACAGAGAG